GAAAAATATTAAGTGGGTTGATAAAGACTTCCCAGGGGAACAAAGTGAATCTTGGGAACTCTACTGAAAATGAACAGGAGCCTGCAGTGATTAGATGAGGCCCGGACGAACTAGGAGTGCTCTCACTGCAAAGCTAACCACAGGGGAAATGCCTGCAAGCAATGCTTGAGAAATTTGCTTTAAAAATGAACAAAGAAAACCACAATACAACAAGGGCAAAAGTGGAACTCTCAAATTTTGCACTCCATATTCATCCTACTAATTTAAAGAAGAGGACATGAATCAAGTATGCAGCTATACAAAACTGGACTATGATGTCCAGATGTCTCTCATGAAAGCACTGAAAAGCATTCAGACTAGTGGAGTAGAGCCCGAGACTGGCTTTGCAGTGGGCTTAGGCAGAAAGACTTTGACAGAGCTGCGTGAAGAAGCTTACATAGTTCCATCCACACCAGATCTGACTCTAACCAGCACAACCAGTTATGCATTTTAAAGGTAATTTTAAATTATTTAATAACATAAAACATTCTTAATAAGTGAAATTACTTGGTAAAAAGAGCCAATCATATTTTTCTCTTAACAAGAAATTCTATAAGCACAAAGCACAGGCACCCAGATCCACATGCTCCCAGCCTCCGAAGGCAGCAGGAGGCACACAGCAGAGGCAGCAGGATTCACACGCTCTCAGCCTCTGTGAAAGCAGCAGTTTCTGTTTGCATTCATTTCCACAGTGCTCTGTGGGGGAAATCAAGCTCCTGCTGCACCTGTTTAATAGTGAAGTCATTGATGAGGTGATGGTTATGTTCATTCAGGCTGCAGTGCAATGTGATGCAATCGCTGTGCATTAGTAGATCCTGCAGGGTTCCTACTCGTTGTAAACCCAAGGATCGCTCCACTCCATCCGGCAGATAGGGATCATAGAAAATCACGTTGAAGCCAAAGGACTTGGCTCGCAGAGCCACTGCCTGTCCAACTCGGCCTTCACAAAAGAAAACCCACAATCATCAAGGAAAGGTAAAACAAACTTTTAAAACAAGATACTGGGGTAGACTGGGAGCCTACACTGGAGTTTACTGCCAGGCCCAAGGTACTGCAGCCCTGGACGTTCCTAGGATTGCCACAGCAATCCAAAGGAGGCTGGCTATTTATTCAGTGCTGATCTCATTTGACTATTTCTAGTCATTCCCTGTGCAATAGACGGAGCTTACCCTAAAATAAGCTGTTTTTCAAATCAAATCTGTACCCTGTTTCAGAGGCAGTAATAGTCTGATCACAAGAACTTGGAGAAGGAATTGGTAGCTTTCAGGCAGTTTTGTTACTGATACAGAGGCTAGCACGCAGGAAAGCAGTCACTAAGAACAGCTGTCTGAATGTTCCAATTCATCCAACCATCTGAGTAAGAAAAAAATCCCCAATCCCATGGTATATACTCAACTCTTGAAGATGTTCAGCTGCACTGAATAGGGCACTAGCATTTCTTAACAGTCAGTGTGTTTCATAATGAACAGCTGTAAAATTCTTTTTTTTTTTTCTCTCCAGTCTGTGACTCTTAGGTTCCCAAAAACATTCACAGTTTGCTTTTCAGTCTAACGATTCCCATCACTTACCTAGTCCAATGATGCCCAAAGTCTCCCCACGGATACGCACAGCGCCTCCAGCCACCTCTCGAATCTGCTCCACACTTGAAGCTCGGTTCCCCTCCCGCATAGCCTGATGTAGCCAAGTAACACGGCGATAGAGGTTCAAGATGTGGCAGAGGGTAGAATCAGCAGTCTCCTCTACAGAGGAGGAAGGGATGTTGCAAACTGCAATACCTACAAAACCACAGAGTTCATATAAGATTTTTAGCATCACAACACTAAACCAAAATTATGCTCTTTAGGCATAAATGCTGAAACATAATTCAGTGCTCCAGAACTACTGCTAAGAAACACAGGATTAATTTCAGAAGCTGATTCTACTATCAGTCAGGTTTTTAACCCCAAGGAAATTTCATTCCTTCCTTATAAATATCCATTTGATTGACATCCTCACCAGAAAAAAAAAAATAGCTGAAATGCAGAAACTGGATCACACAAGTGACAAAAGAAACCTACTGTTTTAGGCCTGCACTGAAGAAGATGCACTCATTCCAGATACTCCTGACAGATTAACTGACAGATTGTAGAAGAATTAAGAAGACAGATGGTTGTGCTCTTTCATGCTTCACAGTCCAGATGCTCACTCAACTAACAGCTTCCCCAGGAGCAACACTAAGTAACTACCTCATTAAATGCAGAGAGAAACCACAAGAGTTTGAAGTTACATTTAAAAATAACAACATATAACACTCCCACTCTAGAATAATACACAGCCACAAGAGACCATAAGACCAAAGCTAGAACTATCAGGTACATTACTAATGCCAGCAGAGTTAAGGTGTTGGAAGCACAAATTACTGCCAGAAAAAAGAAAAGATGCCAGAGCACTGCAGCAATATGTGGTCATTCCTGAGCTATCCAAAATAAAAACAAAACTACAAAACAAAACAAACAACAACAACAAAAAAGGGAAGAGGAGAGGCAGGCAGCATATCACTTCCCTGCTGCTATCCTCCATTCAACAATTTACTGCTCCTAAACAGGGGTAAGCACCACTTCAGAAGAGGAAAACCAGGTTGTCAAACCAAGCAAAATTTTCCTCCTCAAATTCCATCATCTATCTAAAAACTAGAAATAAAATATAGGTAATGATTGAGGACACAAGATTCAGCAGTACATCACTCTTTGTAAGCCTATTACATAGGAGACATTGAACTAAATTCAGATCACACTTTCCTCCTAAGTGAACTACATGAACAGCCCCGCACAATCCCAGATATCCAATACCTTTTCTCAATCGAATCATTTACAACTGTGTCATAATGCCACACAGATGACTTGGAGAAGATGAAAAGGGAAAATGGGAAAACCTAACTTCTTATCATCTCACTAGTTAACATCTCATTCAACTTCAGACAAACCAGATACATTCAACTCTTTCGTAAGTAGGCACAAATTTGTGTTTATGTGCAATATGATGCTTAAGTGTAAGAAAACACAATGACACAAGAGCCCTTTGCACCAATTTGGGGATTCAGAACATACAAGGAACAGTACTGTACTTTGGAATGAATTAAAGGGTCTGACTAAAAGCACAGAAATAATCGTTAATTGTCCAGCCAGAAAGCGTAACAGCTGAATAAGAGCCAAATACCTTGCCAGGAATTCTTGGGAATCTAGACAAACATGCATTTTTCTTTTGTTTGCAGTTCATCTGTTCTTACGGGTCTTGAAATTGTATTGCCTATTACAATTTTATATATAAATACTTGCACTTGGTTTAAGCTTACTCTGATTTGTATTAAGACAGGTTTCAAATAACTGACACAACCTTTAAAAAGATGGCATGGGGTTCTTAGCTGATCCACCTCCTTAAGGAGACTAGAGTCTAAAAGCCTCACTACCATATGTTTAATAATGAATAGCAGCTTTGTGTCACCTGATCCAGAGACCCTTCACATGCCTAAACTTCTGCTGGGATCTACAGGGATCCATAAGATATTGAAGCAGTACCCATACTTAAAAGACAAACAAACAGAAAAAAAATCACTAATCAAGCATTTGCAGTGAGTTTACCCCTTGCAGGCTGCTTTCAGATGTCAGTTTGCTCAGTTGTTTCCCCACAAATAACCCAATACTGCCTCACCAAAGAGAGGTTATCTAGACATCATATATAGCTTTCTGAACCTTAGACAACTGCAAAGGGTCTGGTATCTATAGCAGAGTAATTTGAGAATTGAGATCCTTCCTTTCAGGCCACCTACCAGCTCAGACATTTCTCTGCTTCCTGAAGATGCCTCCTACTAAGCAATTCACAATCTTTTTACATAAAGATTTTTAAAGCACTTAGTTATAGACAGAAAAACACGTGCAGTGCTCTACTTCTCGTTCAGTTCTGATCACATCAGAACCCTAATGGTATCACCATACCTAATTCTGCAGCAGATTTGATGTCAACATTGTCATAGCCACTGCCAATACGCACAATGACCCTGAGGGCTTTGAATTTCTCCAGATCCTGACGAGACAGCGTAATGGTGTGATACATCAGAGCTCCTACTGCCTCATTCAGTACCTACAACAAAAAGCAGTCCAAATCAATCTCTACCTTGTTACACAAAGAGACAGAGCTCAATGTCCAAATGCTCGTATATTTTCTTCCCCACCTTTTCATGGATTTCCTGAGTTGACTGAGCGTCACAAAATGCCACTGTAGCAACATCCTTCAGGATGGGCATCTCCACAGTGCAATCTCTTCCATCCAGGAGCGCAACCAGTGGCCGTGCTGGCATCGGGCCATTCACAAGAGGAGGCCGTATGCCTATTAAGAAAGTCAGCAGAAGCGATTGTATGAAATACAGCGTGTATGAAATGGAGCCCTCATCTGCTAGTCCAATAAATCACTAGTTCTTCTGGAATTCTACGGTTTTAACGAAGGGATTACTTAAAGCAAAAGAAATAAACAGGAAACCAACGAGGAAGTGAACCTGGGGGGGTGGGGGGGAAGCTCTGTCATTACTATACATTAAAGAAAAAAAAAAAAAGCCTGATAGAGAATAAGGTAACAGAGGAGACCTCACAAGCACGTATGTTTACTCTAGACTCCCAAAACCAAGAATGCAGTCCGTTCGGGCCTACTGCCTCCTCGTGCCTCCCGTTCCCAGGCTCCTGCTCCGCTTCCTTTCGAGGCGTGCAGAGGAACCCGCGCACTGGCGGCGCCCCCGCGGTCCGCCCCCGCGAGGCGCTGCCTCCGCCTCAGCGGCGCGGAGCGTGCGGCTCCCGGCAGGGAGCGCCGCAGCCGGGCCCGGGGCCCCGCCGCACGAGGCCGCGCTGCCGCCGGGAGCCGGGGCCGGGGCCGCCCGCCCCGCCTCACCTTCGCAGATCCGGTCCAGCCGCTGCCGCTTCACTTTGTGCCGGTCCATGAGCCGGGCCGGGTCGCGCCGCTCAGCGCCGCGGAGGAACGGCGGAGGAACGCGGCGCTGCTCGCCGCCGGCTCCCGCGGCAAAGCGGAAGGGCCGGGCCGCGGCCCCGCGGCCCCGCAGCCGTGGAGGCCTCGCAGCCGCAGCGCCGCTCGCTTCCGCTTCCGCTTCCGGCTGCCGCCGCCGCGGCCCCGCGCCCCGCCGCGGCCGCCCCACAACCCCCCGCGGCGCAGCAGCGAGCGAGGGCCCCAGGCCAGCGGCCCGGCAGCGCGCAGCAGGGCCCAGCGCGCCGCCCGCCCCGCCCCGCCCCGCCCCGGCCCCCCCCGCCCCGCCGGGCTCTCGGCCCGCGCTCCCCGGGGCCGCCTCGCTCGCTGGAGAGTCGGTGTCACAGAACCGGCGCGTGGGGTCCTTCGGGCAGGCAGCTCCTCGGTACTGGACCGAGGGTCTCGTGCAGTACCCGCGAGGAAACGGCCGAAAGGAGGGCGGTGCGCGTGAAGGGCTTGTAGACGTAGCGAGCTGTCCGCAGATAGCTGTCACCAGAAGGGGTGATGAGCACGGCGAGAGGGATTTCAATCAATCGCAAGCTACCTGCTTGACTACAGCTTTACAGGTCTTTTGGGAGGGGGGTGGGAAAAACTGCTCTGGGCACGAATGCTGAGCCGCGCAAAACTCTAAGGAGGAAGGAGCCTCACAATAAGTGCTGTCCTAAGCTGGTACTACGCTTTCCTCAGGTATATGCGCTGCCAATAGTGACAAAAACACCAAGATCTCCACTTCATCACACCAGAGACATGAGTGGTGGTCTTTCTTCCTGTCTATCATCTGTGAGATTGGGTGTTTTTCTTGCTGTATGCAAACATGCTGCCCTATTACTTCTCTGCCTTCCTCACTAATATGCTTCACTGTTTTATTGAAGAGTTTAGTAAGGCCTGGTGCTCTGTGTCATGCCTTCTCTCTCTGCTGTTGTAAGACCTTGGCTAAAGTCATGGGTGCACTTGTGTTAAATCTAGTGAGGTGGCCCCTTCACAGCTGGTTTCTGCTGTGCAACCGGAACTTTCCATCTTGGCCATGTCCCACCTACTCTTCTGAGTGTTAAAACTCCATGAAACTGTCCATTGTGTATTTTACAGGTGCCTGCTCTGATCTCTGGGCAATTTCAAAGCTTGATTTACAAGTTCTACATCCTTGACTGCCACTATCCCTGTGAGTATAAGGGGATACAGCAAGATGAGGGAGCTGGGTAAGTTGTGGTGGTTGAGGGGCTGGCTGAGGAGGCAAAAGGGGTGTGGATGAAGACACTTAAAGATGAAGCAAAATTATGGGAGGTAGAGCGACTGGGGTATTAGATGATTTTGTAAGAGCAGGCTGTTGAATAAGGCAGTGCTTCTGTCTGTCCTCCCCAGAGAAATACCATCAGAATACTCTGGCATAGTATAGCTTTCTAGCCAGTTTCTCTGTGTTACGGAATGGTATAAAAAGGTGGCAAACATGGACTGCAAATTTCACAGAGAATTCTACAGTGTCTAGCAGTTTGTGGCATCTGTGTATATAATAGTCCTTGGTAGGACTTTCTCCCATAAATGTTTCCGTCTTATTTTTTTTCAAATTTATGTGATTTTCTAGCTTTCATACTTCCCCATAACAGAGTTCTGAAGCTTTTCCTTATCCTGTGTGATGTGAACCTCACACTGTTTTTTCTTTTGGTTTCTACAGTGTCTATACAGAGACGGTCGTTTTCCATTTCAAGGCACTCAGGGGTCTATAGACCTATGTCAGATCCTCCTTAGTCATTTCTTCATGACTGAAGAACCTCTGTGTATTCACCTCTTCCATGCTGGGAAACCATTTTGTACTTTGATCACCCCTGCCTTGTACCTCTTTCATCTCTGTAACATTCTTTTTAGTTAGAGGATCCAGAAGGTCTTAATACAGTTCCATTATCAACTTCTCTGTTTTGTTGTTCATTCTTAATATTTGATTAGGTTTTAGTTTGGGTTTTGCCATTACTGAGTTCATGAGAACAGATATAATAGGCAGTTCTGTGAAACTCTGATTACCTTCCTCCCAAATAGTCTGTGTGATCACTGTTTATGTAAAGTTAGCATTGCTTTCTCCCCATCTCCCTGTGTAAGCTAACATAGATAAAGATACTCATGGAGTGCTGGACTCCTAGTTGTTTCAGCCACTAGACTATGATCCCTGTCTCCCCTGTAAGTGCTGGCATGGAATCAACAATGATTCTGGCCACACTGAGAACATACTAGCTTCCATGATACACTGTCTAGTTTTGTCTGCCCAGCATCCCACAGTAATAACCACTTGACATAATGCATTTTCCTTCCATTCACCAGGAACTTTGTGAACCCCAGAGCTATTGTCCAATGCAACATCAGGACTTCAAAGCAGAGTTGCTGAAATTCTACACCACAAGCAAGTCATAGACTTTGTAGTGAAGGAAGCAGGACCAGATCACTCACCTCATGAAACTGTGAGCACCAAAGCAATAGCTGGAGTGAAAGCTGCCTAAGAGAGTTCTGCCTTCCAGAGCAAAGTTTTCTTCCCTGAAGACAACTAGACTGTGATGGTGAAAGAAAGAGAACCTTCCTTGTTCTACTGACAGGGCTAGGACAAATTAGGAAGTCTGTTTAAAAAATCTCAGTGCTGCCTCTGTGGGACACTGGCTGAGCATAAAGTCTCAAATAAAATGGTACCATAGCTGCTTAGGGAAAAGAACAGGCTTTCTTCAATAAAGACTAAGCCAGCTTTCAGGTTGTCTTGTCTAAAGCCTGCAAGGTAGTGTATGTCATCAGCTGAGCTCAGCTCTCCTGCTTCAGACAGCACTCCCCATGTTTCTTTTTAATACTAAACGCTGCTGTGGATTTTTTTGTTAGTTGTCACTTCTCACTGGTAAAATAAGGAACTGGAGCAGACTGAAGTGCATGATAACTGGACCTTCTTTCCTGTGGCAATTAAAAAAGCTAGGCATGCAGGTGCTAATGGATATCTAAAATGATTTCTCAGCCCATCAGTAGTCAGGATCAGGTATGCCCAGCAACTGCTTCTATAAGGATCAACAGTGAGAACTGGAAAAATATTAATTTCTCTATCATGTCTGTTAAGCCCTTATTGACATGGTTTTCCCAACCTGTGGCTATTAAACCACAGAGACATTTTTTTTGGAGTACTGGCTCAGTGTAATTGGATTGTTGGCATCTCAGTTTAGATTCTTTGTGGTGGGGATGACAAGTCTGAAACTGTTATCTTTATGTATATTTAAATAGCACTAGCCAGCAGATCAGGTTAGTGAAAGCAGCTTTCTGTAAGGGAAGTCTGTTCAAATTCTGGTTTTGGGATGTTTTTCCAGCCTCCTGTGCTGCAGCTGAGAGTGGCTGTTTTCAGAGACAGACAAGGACTAGGTGGAATTCTATCCAGTGTCTTTCTGCCACTCCAAAAGTTTGGCATGGTCCCCAAGACTGTATCTAATACAAAAGATCAGACTAAGCTTTCTTACCCCTCAAATTAGAAAATTACCAAGCTGAAGAAATACTAATGTTAATTGTATCATACACAATGAGCCTGTATATTCTGTTTTACAGCTGACAGTGTTGCCACAAAGCTCTTGACAAATAAAAAAAGAAATTAAATATGGGTGGTGATAGTAGACAGGGTGGGGGAGGGCATATTGCTTTTTCAAATTCTGTTAGAATTTGAAATTGATCACAGAATTGTCTAGGTTGGAAGAGACCTCCAAGATCACCTAGTCCAACCTCTGACCTAACAATAACAAGTCCTCCACTAAACCAAAGTTAGGAGCCAGAATAAAACAAATTATAATCTACTAGCCATGTATGTTTTAACTTTCTCCTGCCCTAAGGAGTAATACTTCTGAGGGCTATAGTTCTCAGAAGATGGGTCCATATTAATTTATCAGCTCTTATCAGACTTATTTATGTGCTCATATCTAGCAAAACCTATCTGAGAGCAACAGAGTCTGAAGATCGTGTACACTAGGAAGAGAGAAACAATGATTAACACAGTACTGCCCCTAGCAGTATTTTCTACACAGCACTGGGCACACTTGTTCATAAGGGCTGAGGTGACTGACAGAGCTGGCTTTCCACTGCTGTTGTCCAGGGCTTCTGGACACCCTGTGAGGAAAAGACCCACCAGGTGGCACTCCTGCAGCACTACTTGAGGACCACAGTCAAAATTCAGTGCAGCCAACTACTTTTCCAGCACCTCACTCCTAGAAGGGAATTAAGACAGGTCTTTCCTGAGAGATGTCACAAACAGGAACTGCAGAGTACTGTAGAATATCTAGTGTTCCTGAGCCTTTTTGGGATTTTTTCCCCAGGGTGTTAGGTGGGATATAGACTACAGTACAGGAACTCATGTATGTGTATGTTCATCAAGCAGAGATGGTTCTGTACTCCTTTGTGTTACTCCCCAACCATGTGACCTGCCAGTGAACAGGGCCCTGGGGATCTAGCTAGAACATCTTCCTTATTTTTTTTTTCATCTTCTATTTTTCATTTACAGTTATTATTTACAAATCATCTAGATCATTGTGGTAAAAGAGGTGCATGAGCATGCCTGTGATGGTGCCTCAACTATTGGCACAGCTTCCCTTCAGAATGGATTAGTTAAAAAAAAAAAGTCTATAATGCTACTAAACGTTAAAAAAAAATAAGTAATAAAAATGGACAGCTTTACCCATTTGGCTTGCATGCAAAATCTCACTTCTCACCTGCAGTCTCCTTTTACATTTATGCTGACTGATCATCTTCTCTATATAAAAACCTTGCTTAAGACCTCTCTGGTGCACAAAGATAGCCTGCTAGGTTGTCAATGTTATCTCACTGATAGCTTTTAAGGCAAGTAATTAGTTGGATGCTTAAAAAGAACAGGAGAGAAAGGAGGGAAGATGTAAAGAGGACATTTCTGAGGGCAAAGAAGGAGACTGGAAATCGTGGAGGCCCTGTTGCCAGGGGCAGAACTAGCAGAGAAATCCTTGTCCATCTGGGCACAGCAGCTCAGTGTTGTGGTCCAAAGTCCTGCCATGTGGGAGTGGCTTGTCTTTCCTGGTAGTTTCTAAAGCACCTAATGCTGTTGATAAGATGTAAAGTAAACATCAGCCCCTGCACTGCTGCTCTGCCATGTGCCCATCTCTTTTACAAGCAAAAAGAGGAAAATACACAGGAGCAATTAAAATAAAGCCCTGCTGCAAGCAGACAAGCCTGCTGCCTCTAGCGCTGTTTTAAACAGGACTGAAAGGTGGTGAAGGTGGCAGCAGGGTGGGATCACTGATCTTTCCTAATGTGCCCGGGGGGGTCCTCTGTCTCATAATTTAAGGAGAATGGAAACCCAGTCCATTTTCCCCTACTGAATCAAGGGAAAATAATCTAATGCATGTCCTGTCACTTAATTGCTCTCGTATCTATTTAAGTACCTTGCCAACCTACAGGAACAGTAAAATCTTGTTTTCAGTTCCATTATTTTTCTGTTACCATAGTCAATATAATATGTGCCTCTGAACAGCTGCTACCCCTAAGGCATTACAGTATCTGCCTGGGTCTGTCTTGCCATTGCCACATCCACTGTCCTGCATGCTAATTTAGATTCGCTTGAGACAAGGAGAAAGCAAGTATCTGCTCTGACAATATGCAGCATGGATATACTAGGATCTGGAAAAATGGGCCAGCATATGTAGGGCTGTAGATTAGTAGGTGCATCATTTAAATGCTTTTGAATCAAAATATAGTGGAATGTATTACTAAAGCTACTTGTTCCATGTTCTTGTCTCTGAAAAAAAAAAAAATAGTAGCTTAATAGTACTGTTAGAAGGAGCTCCTCTTTTCCTCTCTTGAAGAAAGATTTTGGCTTTCCTCTTACAATTTTTTTCTTTTGAGCTGCTCCTGACTTGGAGTGCTTGGATCACCCAAGCATATGCACTCTAACCACTGCCCTGACCAGTTGGTGGGAAGGGTTTTTACAGGGTCTCTCATCCAATGTCTGTTTCAGGCAGTACTACCACCAGCACCAAAACAAGTCAGCTATAGCTTTTTCTACAACTTTTGAAAACGTTTGAGGACATAGACTCCAACACATCTCTGGATAACCTATTACAGCACTGCACCAACTTCTTGGTGAAAATGTTTTTCACAATATATAGTCTGAACCACCCAAATTACAAATTATGTCCATGATCACTTCTTATGTCACCTGCCATTACCAACATGGGTTTGGCTTTGTCACCTTTGCAATTTGCCTTCACGTAACTGTAGGCTGCTAAAAGATTGTCACTGAGACTCCTCTTTGCCAAGCAAAAAATCCCAGCTCTGTTCACTTCTTTGTGGGTCTTATGCTACTGTCTTGGTAGCCCTCCACTGGACTCTGTCAAGTTCCCTCTTGAACTTTGGGGTTAGGGAACTTCATATAAAATTCCAGGTGTGGCCTCAGCAATGCTAAATAGATAGGAATAACTTCCCTCAGTTCTCTGACCATGTTCTTCCTAATACAGCATGGTGCATGGATTGTCTTACACAGGATCAGGACACACTGGTGTCCAGGTCCTTCCAGAGGGGCTGCTCCTCAGCCAGTCCCTAACCAGAACAGATGCATGGGGCCAGCTCTGCCCTGTTAGAGAGCTCCACTTTTTCTAAACCTCACAAGGTCTCTCTTGACCCAGTCCTCAGGTTTCTCAAAGTTCCTCTGGACTGAAGCTCTGTAGCTCAGTATGTCAATCACTCCCCCTAAAATAACATTATCATAAACTTGCTAGTTCCTTTTTCCTGTAGGATGACTCTTTTTAAGGAGCTAATATCACCATAGATACAGTCTATACATTGAGCTACATGTCTTTGTACCTATCCATAACTAAATGTCTCCAGTATTCCTGCTGTGAACCACACTGAAATAAAGTACAAGAGCAGCTTTGAGTGCTTTATTCATAGGAACAAAAGAATAAAACTATATGAGCCATAAGTTGCCAAATGCCACAGGTACTGAAGCAGAAAACTATGGGTAGCTGCTTTAGATGTCAAGACCCTGAACCTTCATCAGCAATGAGCAGCCAGAGCTGTTTAGGGACCCAATACTCATGCTACGAAATGAAAGAGGTTTTTGTTTGCTTTTCTGTGAATACAGACATTAACTTCTGCTGGGCTGTTTGCATTAGGTTAATATTTCTGTAGTGTACAGGTGTTAATATGAGATGTGAGTGTCTGCTGTCTGTCTCTGGCCCCGTAAAGAGCAGAGTGTGGTGCTGTAAATATTAGCCCAGGCAGAGAAGTGTTTGCACAGCCTTCTTCTGTGCTGCCTCCTGCAGTAGAACTCTGATAGTACTCCTTACAAATAATGCAGGCTCAGCTGTCAGAGGCTCAGCATCTTCTGCATTGTGCAGTAACATCCTCTGGTTTTGACTAAAAAAAGCATTGCAGCAATCAAATCCTGAAAAATGCAGCAAAAGCACTGGAGTGCTATAATCTTCTGAAGATCTACGCTAGACAAAGTAAGGTACAGTAACTCAGCACATACAGCAATCAAAGTACTTGTTTGGTCTAGTCCAATGTTCCTTGGCTGTGGCAGTCCCAGATGCAGAGTCTGGCACATCACTGAAACTGCTACATGCATTAGTACAGTGACATAGTCATTTCAGAGGGAAACTGCAGACTTTTGTTCTCAGTTTGTTTAAAAGAGCTCCCTAATAATAGAAGGGAATGCCCATTGCTGTTGATTCGAACAAAAGAGGAAAGTGAAACAACATCCTCTTGCAGATACCATAGGGATCTTCCTGCCACCAAAGAGAGGAACAAATGAGACAATGGCACGAGCATAGTATATGGATTCCTCGTTCCACTGAGAGTCCTGCCTCACACATAAACTCTCACATAGTCTATGATGACAAATAACTCAGATGTAGCCTGCCATGTGTCCAAACATGCTGAATGAGTTGTTACTTGATAGAGCAAAAATTTTCATGCACTTTACCAAGTCCTTCATAACCTGAAAGCAAAATGAAGAAGATGAACTGTGATAGCTTCAATGAATTTCAAGAAACATCACAAAGGCCTGGCTGGACTTTCCTCAGTTGAAGCACAGAAACTGAGTTGTACAGTTATTGCAACAGACACTGTCTGGGCTACTCTGCTCAACCTGAAGTATGCTGTCATTGCCATCAGGACCCTCATGAAAGTTCTTGTTGCCACAGTAAGTCCAAGTGGAACACCTTAATACATGCTCTAGTCCTGACTTCCTGGAAAGTATGGACATTTTTGATGAGCTATTCAACACAGCAAAGCAAAAAGTAGGCAAGCTGTATGTCAGAGTTGCAAATTAATAGTCATAATGATTAGCAACGTTAGCATTATCAGCCACCTTCATAGCTTTGCATATGAAGACATTTGTCTGCCTTAGGCTGAAAGTGGATCAACACCATTGACCCTTATGGGCCGCAAAATAGAGAATACAAAGGCCCTTTTCCCCAAGGTGAAGTAGACCAGGCTTTATTTATTCTCCCGCACCAAACCAATATGAAGCATTATGAGCAATGGGACTCTGAAAGGCAGGGATTGGGTGGATTGGAAAGCTGAAAGGCTCCAATTTTCCACATTTTCAGAGGTGCTGTTTGTAGAAAGAGGAAAACAAATGCAGTATTAGACAAAGGCAACAATGTATGTGCTATAAAAAGTCTCTGGGTTGAGCGCTTGTGGTACACACAGCCTCACAGAAAGCACGTAGCCAAGCACTCAGAGTGGACATTCAGTCTAAGATCAACTGCTACTCAAAGCATGCATGAGCTTGAAGATGTAACGACATTAACTGTATGCCAATATCTACAATACTGAAGTGAAAAGCAGCTAGACGCTTCAGAGAACTAAAATCCAGAATTCATGGCTTTTGCAGTCAGTTCTTATCACTGAATGACCTTGGAGCAGACATTGCTCTATGTCCAAGCTAAGTTATCTGTAAAGCTAAAAGCATATTGATCTCTCAGTAGTAATGTAACAGTAAACTAGCTTTATTAATGACTTTTTCTATGGAGCTGTGGACACATAGATATTTTTACAGAGTTAATTTTATGCTAATTAATTTATTCTAATAGCTACTACCAAAGTATTAGGAAAGTCATTACAACTTCTTATCAGTACGTCAGCTGAGTCATAGAGAAAAGCAACCGAGATGCTGTGTGTTCATGTCCATACTGAGAATAAAACTATTTGTATTGCAGTGGATTGGGATGCTTTCTGCATGAGGTTAGGTGCTAATGTTTTCCATTAGACGCTGTTGGATTGTAAGCTACATTGTAAGGACCAGAGGCTCCTCCAGACTTATGAATCGTGAAATAAAAATGAGAAGCAAAGTAAGGCTCTATATCAGGGGGAAGGTGAGCGGGGGAAGGGAGGAGAATAAATGTACAACACTCTACTGGTTTTGCTGCCTGTAGTGTACCAGTGTGGAGAGAGAGTTATGACTGTTGTTAAAGCAGTTGCTTTCTTTGGCTGATTATTTTCAATCTAACAGTCAAAACCACACAACCTCCCTGAGGATGAAATAGTAATGAAATAGGCAATGCAAACCTTATGCCTGATCAGCTTGCATACAGGTGCCCTCTTCAGTCTCAATGCACATCAGGAAGGGCAGAATTTACCTCAGAGAATAAAAGCAGAGGAAAATGGTTCACTGCAGGAGTCAGACTGCAAGTGCTATCTTCAAAG